TATGTTGTGTAACTGTTTAATGGTGTTAATTTATTGCTACCCACTTCCCCGTCAATTTATAGTGTTGGTCCACAGCGCAAACGTATTAGTCTAACAAAATCTGCATCTAAAATGTTGGCATAGATACGTTATTTATGTAAAAAAAAAGTGAAAAAATTATCCAACGATTTACAGACCACTCTTTCCCCATGTAAGTCAATGGGAAAAAGTGTTTCCGGACCTGGCAACCAAACGGAAGTGTAGTACCGCCGTTTGGCCACTACGAATATTTTCATCTGAGTCCGGCGCACTTCCTTGGGGCTTGGCCACCCCCATCAAAATCCTCCGCGGCTCTGCATGCCTACAGCTGAATGCGGCGATTACAATCTTGTTCAGCAAAACGCCACACAAAACTTATTTGTGGGGGCTTAGGCTTGACCCTGGTGGTGGTGAATGGATATTGGGTTCGGGTCTTAAGGAGAGGGGCCTTAGCTTGACCCTGGTGGCTGGTGAATGGATAGTTGTTCGGTCTTAGAGGGAGGGCTGCTTAGCTTGAACTGATTCAGAGGACGAGGTGAAAGAATGGGTTGCGTCGAGTCTGCCTGAGATGCACAGCTGACAGAGGCCGAGGAATCTGTCGCTGTCGCCAACGTATCGCAGTGGTGACACCAGACCTGAGCCGATGGTGGTTTTGAACCTACAATGACCCGCCTTACAGCTGCTGTTTTGGCAATGTTACGCCACAACTTGGCATTCACACATTGTCCTTTCAAATGATTTGGCCATAAATGGCTGCTTACATAATGTGTTGTTTCTATTTGATAAAAGGGTACTAAAGTTGGACTTTCAATACAAATGTGGCCTTAAGGAAAAACTGCAGGATTGGTGACGATTTACAATATGCATTCATGTGATCAAATCAATTTTCCCTGTCCTGTGATCAAAGCCAAGGTCAATGATATAAACCAAGTGAAATAATTGCGTTGTGTATGTTTGTCCTTTTTGGTTACCATGTACGTTTAGAGTGTACCAACAAAAAACCTTTATTATGTCTTTGATAATACATTTTATGTACAGAATATCATGGAATCACTAATCTGCTCAGGGTAATTGTAAGCATACAACACCCTGCCTTTTCTACCCTTGTTTAGAAAAGGAAAACTCCACACACAAGCCATTAACGGGGAAACAAGATTAAGAGAATCCTTAAGTGCCATATTTTATTATTTTGCAACATGGAAATCTGACTCATGCAAATTGTTTATTCTGATGTCTACTACCGCCCACCCCTCCAGGACCTTGTATCTCTTGTGCTAACGTGATCCGACAATGGCTTTCCTGAAAGCTTCCTTCTGGGTGTGTAACTAGTCTTATTGTGCTTTATGGTGGAAGGATCATGTGAAGAGGGGTCCTTCCAAGTAAGATATTTTTCTCCTACCGACGGAAAACCTCATAATGTTTTGTTTTTCCCCAGAAAAATGCTTAATCATTTATTTCTGAGAGATACGGTACACATAATATCACTAACTCACTCTCTAGGGGTCAGATCGCAATTTGTCTGCCACTATGGCGTCCAGGGCTCAATTGTAGGTCCCATCCTTTTCTCTATTTACCTGCTTTGCCAGACATTATGAAATGTTAACTTCAGTTGATTTCTATGAACACGACTCTACCTGTGATGAAATAATGACCCACCACTTACACACACCTTCCATATTTACTTAGCAGGAATTGTAAAATGTTGAAGTCTGAAATTCACTTAGCTTAGTTACGATTGGAAAATGTGGTCTTTTTTTCTGCAGTAAAAGACACCTTTTACAACTAGAAATGGTTGCGTACGAATTCAGAAATCCAACACCAATAAATCAAGGTTTAATTCTAATATACTTTTCAGAGAAAGCTTGCAGTCAGTGTCTTGATCCTTGAAGGTTAAATCAACAGCGCTGGAGTCAGAGAAAAGATGTCAATCCTATTCCATCTTGGGATGGATGTGTCGCAAATTGAACATGCCACATGAGACAAGGCAGAAGGTGTGGCAGCAGGCCTTGGCTCGTCTCACTTCTCTTTTTTGTATCCTTTTGTCCTTTCTGATGCCCCCCCCTGGCCCCCCCCTGTACTGTGTCTACCTTACAGCCCTAGCATCCCTCCTTCTCTACCGACTCCACCCCGTCTCTAATCCGACCTCCCATCCCCTCTCTGCCAACCGGTACCCCAATCTGGTCATTCATCAGCCTTCGCAGAGAGCCGCTCTCATCGGAATGTCACCATCCATTTAGGAGGGAGGAATCTCTGGCAGCTAAGTCTCAGCCAACCTGGCCTTAATCCTCTGTGAGAGCGCCCGGGTGTGTGTTTTTACTTTGTCTGTAAGGTATTGTTCCTGTAAGTTTAAGGTATTATTTTCGACATTCCTATCATCACTGGAATGGCTTACCATCCAGAGAAAACATTCTGTTTGTCCACCTAAATCAATGGTGTTGTAATAAATGCATTATTGAATCATTTGCCCTGAGTTACTCTTTCTCTCATGTCACCTAAGGGGACTTTTTTCAGAATCAAAGTGTTTTTTCTTAAACTTCAGTGATTATCCACACAATATTATTGGTCCTCAATTGAAGTTGGATTACAGCTCCAATGTTATCTCAAACTAAGACTATGACATAATAAGATAGACTTGATTCAGCTTAGCTGAATAAAATGAAAGTTAGAATAAAAGTCTGAATGTACTAAAGCTTCATCAAGGGACTTCACCATTTGATTAGTGTAATACCCGTAATACGTTTGCAGTGATGATGGGTAACTGTCACACTAGAACTCCATCCCTGGGGTGGACAGTGGATTACAGGTCACAGCAACTTGAGTGTCCCACTCAAGGTTGCTGTGACCTGTAANTCATTAACAAATACCGGAAACAGACCGAAAACATTTAAAAAAAAAAAAATAATACTTTATTCCGAGTGTGCTTGCTTTTCTCTTTGAAAGTCATCACATAACGGCATTGTAATACACGGTTCGGCTGCATTAAATATTACATATCTGCCATAGTTCTCTATTTATAGAGCCCTGATGAGAAGACTTATGAGGAAATGCCGCCAACACTGAAAACGTGACGTGGATCATAAATATATCAGCAATTAAACAACATCTTGCATTTCTTTTCACACAACACGTCTCCTCGCAGTATCAACACTAATTTGGCTGACATTTATATTTGATCCAATTGGTAGATAGGCTGTTACACCATAAAGGTGCACAGCTGATATAAAGGGATACCGGGGCTTAGCTTGATCCTGGATTCAGAGGGACAGGAGGTGAAAAAGGGGTTGCGTCGAGTCACCTGAAATGACAGCTGACAGAGGGGGTCGAGCAGACTTAAAAGGTTTAGCGGAGCGCTGTGATAGGCTCTTGGGTATAGAGCGAAGTGATTGGTTGAGCTGGTGAGTAACGCCCCGATCACTTATAGAGAGGAGAGAGAGTAGTAACATGGAAATAGTAAATGAATGAGTAAAGACGGTCTTCCTGGTTGAACTTGAACTTCATTTAGTCTCAGATCACTTCCACATGTTCTCCATCATGGAGAACATGTGGAAGTGATCTGAGACTAAATGAAGTTCAAGTTCAACCAGGAAGACCGTCTTTACTCATTCATTTACTATTTCCATGTTACTACTCNTGTCTTGTAATGCACTATTGAGGAACCTGCGACCCAAGTTTTTCATTAATTGCATAACTACACCGTTTGTGTATATATGTCAATAAACCTTAGAAAATCTTGAAATCTTGAAAGGGATGTGCAAAATAGTCATTATATACAGTCTTTAATGAACTATTAGTAGAGAATAACGAGTAATGAATATACTTTATAGGGATCCTATTAATATCTAATAATAAAAATAATGAAATTTAATAACATGGTTTAACCACTAGGTGTCCCTTTCTATCAGCTGTGCACCTTTATGGTGTAAATGTAGCCTATCTACCGATTGGATCAAATATAAAAGTCAGCCGAATTAGTGTTGATACTGCAAGGAGACGTGTTGTGTGAAAAGAAATGTAAGATGTTGTTTAATTGCTGATATATTTATGATCCACGTCACGTTTTCAGTGTTGGCGGCAGTTCCTCCTGTTTGTCTAGAAGTCTTCTCATCAGGGCTCTATGAATAGAGAACTACGGCAGATATGTAATATCTAATGCAGCCGAACCGTGTATTACAATGCCGTTATGTGATGACTTTCAAAGAGAAAAGCAAGCACACTCGGAATAAAGTATTATTATTTTTTTTTAAAAATGTTTTCGGTCTGTTTCCGGTATTTGTTAATGACGATGTGATGTGAGATGTGAGACTGGAATTGCACAGGGGAAAATAACGTATCTTTAGATGCGGATTTTGTTAAACTAATACGTTTGCGCTGTGGACCAACACTATACATTGACGGGGAAGGGGGTAGCAATAAAGATAACACCATTAAACAGTTACACAACATAACAGAAATAATATCGATAGCAGCGTCCCTAGCAACCACCTTGGTAACAATGAAAACGTTCTATGGACACAATTTCCTGAAGTAATCTTTGTAATAACTAGCAAACTAAAGATCATGTACATCCACTGCACACATAATCTGAAATAACAACTCATATTTCTCGCATCAAATGACATCAAAACGTATTTTAATGGCCAAACTAACCTTAAAATAGGCATTTTCCACCGAGAATAAAACGAAGTTCGGCCATGTTTTTTTTTTCTGCAGGGAGAAATTTGAAGATCACGTGACATGGACGCCAGCCATTGGAATGA